GGAATATTCAAGCAGGTCATCTGACCCAAACCCCTCAATTACCTGGTTCGGGCGGAGTTCAATAGGGTGGTCTACAGTGGCGGAGAAATCAACGATCTCGCTGAACTCAGGCACCCACTCACGGTCGCGTGGCAGAATCTCTCGATGGCGCTCCTCCAGAAGGCTGTGGCGGAGTATCATGATAGTATTTAATATGCTCTTTAATATGGTGGTAGAAATATCCGATAAGAATTTAATAAAGTGTAACTTATAACGCCTCGAAAGTCAAGGAAGAAAAAAGTTTTTTTGCCCCCCCCCCTGTATACACGAGCGCAGTTGAGCAGGGAAAATGATCGGTTTCTGATGAATTTGATTACTGAGACAGCGAACAGTACGACTGTAGACATACGTTGCGATCAAGCTGTTCAAATGTTTTGGTGAGATCTATGGTGTTCACCATCCAGTCGACAGCAGCACGTGACAGCGATGCATGCACCGCACCTCGCGCAAAGGTGAGTGATGCGTTCAGTTGAGATGGTGTCATTTGACTTTCTGAAATAGTTAACCTTCTAGAAGTAAGTCCATTAAGTTTGGAAGGAAAGCAAACTGTCAATTCTTGTGTTGTTGCACTGCCAACTCGCCGCCACCTTTTTATATCATTGATAACACCAACACCAGAGTCATTCGGAGTCCTCATTACAAGTGTGGCATCCACTGGTGACGACAGTTCGGTGTCAGAATGCAGTCAGTGCCCTTGGCGCCACGGCTTTCCCTTCACAACTTGTCACGAACATGACATCACTTCATGATGGCAGCGCATTTCAGGGCTCTGCTAAGGCAGAGCAAGGGAGCGGAGCTTAATGTCGTCTCCCGAGATTAGCTTTGCAGAGCACAGACAAATAGTGCTCCATATTGATCCAGAGCCTGTAATCAATGTCATGTACGTGATGGGACTCCATTCGGGATGCGAGCGCATATTGGCATGGCTGGAAAAAAACGTTTGCGAAATTGCTGCCAACTGACGCCAAATGGCGCCAGCTTCAGAAAAGAGTGCTAAATTCGTGAAATCACATCGTAAAACGAACATAGAATACAAGTTTTCACCGGGTTTGGAGAAGCTGGTAATATCAAATTGGCGCCTATTAGCACATTACGTGCCGGAGCGCGGAAAACAGAGGAAAGGAGGAACGAGAGGAAAACATCCTATTTGCAATCGGGGCGTTGAGCTGCTATTGTGGACAATGTTCCAGATGGAAAAGCAGTTTCCAAAATTCTGCGATAATCATTATTGAATAGTATCTTCATTTTGCAGGTGATGATATCATCAACTCAGCATCTGTATAGCCTGAAAAAGGTAGCTTGAGTATTTATATTGAGGAACGTCGCTCAGACAAATTGAGGGAAACTTAATGTTTTTTTCTAATTCTATAAAAAGCTTGTATTCCGGTGGTGAGAGGACATTAGTCCAACTGACATCTCGGTGCCACACCAGCGTGAACACAGGGTCAGATCTAAGGAGAACTTCTGAACGATAGTCATGAGGACTCGAAGAAAGGGGGTGGGGTAATTTGAAGGTCAAAAAGCCTGAATCAGATCTCGCAGTGCGGAGTGCGGGATAAGTGTTAAAAGCCGAGGTATTGGAGTGATGCTGCGGATGACCCAATCGATTAGGAGCTTTGTTGTGCGATAGACCTTTTTGGTGAAATTGTGATTATAGGATGGAGCTAAGAGATTTCCTCCTACAGTTTGTACCTCTTCAACAGGAATCTGTTTGAAAAGAGTTATGTCCCTTCAAACAGCGACAACGTGCACGCAAACGACAGTTTCCTCATGCTTGGGAAGCATTCTCAAAGACGGATTTCTCGAACAGTAGCTTTTCGTAATTCATATAAGACTTCGCACTGATCAAAATCTTCCTGCACAGCACTTCTAAGCGCGCTTTTTTGTTTTGTCCTGGGTCCTTGTAACCGAAAAAACGGTCCATGCAAAGATGAAAAGTTGCATCAAGACTAATGAAGAAAGGTTTTCTTCGTTAGTCTTGATGCGAAGCTGTGGGTCCTCCTTCGAACTAGCTAAGTACTTGCCATGTGGAAGATTTTAGATGACTACAGATCGCACCCGTCACTTTATGGAATGTTGTTTCTAAAAGAAGTTCAAACTCTTGAAAACATCAACGTAACTACCCTTTAAAAGCGCGCTCGCCGTCGACACGCTAAAACTAGACCGACTAGATTAGGCTCATTTGAAATCTGGATTACTACTCCATTTTCTTTTCACTTGATGCAAGCATGGTGCTGGGATTGGATCCACACTCATAGGGGGGCCAACCGACAGGTCGAGTTTCCTGAACGGGACTCCTCTGCAAACATTGTCGCGCTGCTCACACTTATCTATAGTTACTTGTGGGTAAGCTGCGTTGTTCATCATTTCGATTGTTAACTAGCTAAGCTTCAAGGTTCTTTTATTATTATCGAACACGAGGAGTTTGTTTCGATTTGTTGCGTTTAAAGCGTGAAGGTAGAGCAGGCGTCATAACACTGACACGCACAAGAATTACTGGCGTCTTCTGAATGCAAGATCTTTCAACTGACAAAGCGCGTCACAATGTATTAACACTTGAAATTTCCTGTTGCCTTCAACAAACGTGTCGTACCGTTTCGATAGAATTTGAGTGAACGAACATCCCATCTCAGCGAGCTCATTGTAAGCGATATCCTTCACATGGTCTCATGTGCACATCGTTCGCTCCTGCGAGCATGTCCAATATAGAAACAGTTTCATACACAGTCTTGATCATGACGTCATAGTTCTGAAACTGAATGCAGGATGTCTCATCTAATATGCACGGAATTCTGCGACGAACTTATTCATTTCCAAGAATCCACACAACCTGCATTAGTATAGCATATCCCCAGCTTTTGTATGCCATCACCGCTTTCATGCATTCGTAGTGTGCGCGAGTTCCATTTATTCCATTCCTTCCAACCGCAAAACGCTCTGAAAAAGAGGTTTTTGTAAAAGGGCAATATAACATTGTAAAAAGGCCATATAACAGTGTCCTGGAAAAAGTAAAAAGCTCAGCTACGCTAGGGCTTTTTTCCGGATGCCTTTAGGGTGTGACCACGTCATAAAAGTACTGCTTGAAGGAATGGATTTGGATTTTGGGGATTGGATTGGATTAGGATTGGATTCAGTGCAATCGTGCAGGTAATGCTGCCTAATGAAATACGGTTCTGCTATCTTACTCAAACTGCTGT